ATACTCAGTGGCGCCATCTATGGTGGGAACAGAATAATACTCCAGTGGCCATCTATGGGTGGGAACAGAATAAATACTCCAGTGGCGCCATCTGTGGGTGAACAAAATAAATACTCATGGCATATGGGTGGGAACAGAATAAATACTCAGTGGCGCCATCTATGGGTGGGAACAGAATAAATACTCCAGTGGCCCATCTATGGGTGGGAACAGAATAAATACTCAGTGGCGCCATCTATGGGTGGGAACAGAATAAATACTCCAGTGGCGCCATCTATGGGTGGGAACAGAATAAATACTCCAGTGGCGCATCTGTGGTGGGAACAGAATAAATACTCAGTGGCGCCATCTATGGGTGGGAACAAAATAAATACTCCAGTGGCGCCATCTATGGGTGGGAACAAAATAAATACTCCAGTGGCGCCATCGGGTGAGGAACAGAATAAATACCCAGTGGCGCCATCTGTGTGGACAAAGAATACCCAAGGGCGCCATCTATGGGTGGGAACAAAATAAATACTCCAGTGGCGCCATCTATGGGTGGGAACAATAATCTGAAGTGTAAACATTACCTGAAGTTCCTGGCGTCGATTAAGAAGTATCTAGCAGAAGGTCTAACCATCACCTTATAGTGATGACCGACCGAGTGTGGACGCGAGAGTGGTGAGTAGGGAGGAGGTGGAGTAGTAGAATGGTGGAGTAGGAGGGTGGTGGAGGTAGAATGGTGGAGAGGAGGGGTGGGAGTAGGAGGAGTGGTGGAGTAGTAGAATGGTGGAGTAGGAGGTGGTGAGTAGTAGAATGGTGGAGTAGGAGGAGGGGTGGTAGAGGATTACAGAACAGAGGCCACAAAGGGTTTTTTACCAAGGCTCCAGTAGTCAGATTTTACCATCGGATATTACAGACATATTACATAGTTCATGATACAGTCTGGGAATATTAAGCTATACTGTACCTCTATCTGCAATGAAAATATATAATCCACCACTGCACATAAGATACGCTTAAGAGTTCAGGGTTTGACGTACAGTAGTTTGTTAGGTTAGGTTAAGGTTAGGTTAGGTTAAGGTTAGGTTAGGTTAGGTTAAGGTTAGTTAGGTTAGTTAAGGTGAGGTTAGGTTAGGTTAAGGTTAGGTTAGGTTAAGGTGTAAGGGTATGTGAAGTTAGGTTAGGTTAAGGTAGAGGTTAGGGTTAAGGTGAGGTTAGTTAAGGTGAGGTTAGGTTAAGGTGAGGTTAGGTTGTTGTGAGGTTAGGTTAAGTGAGGTTAGGTTAAGGTGAGGTTAGGTTAGGTTAGTTAAGGAGTGTTAGTTAGGTTAGGTTAGGGGTTAGGTGCTGAGGAAGAATGGTCTGTCAGGTTGGGAGGAAATGCTGTTGTGTCTTCTTTTCTGTGTGTTTATATCCACTCTGTGTGTTTATACCCACCCTGTGTGTTTATCCCCACTCCCGTGATACTTCCACTCCTGTGTGTTTATCCTCACTCTCTGTGTGTTTATCCCCACTGTGTTTATATCCAACTCCCTGTGTTTATCCCCACTTCCTGTGTTTATACCCACTCCTGTGTTTTTATATCCACTCCCTGTGTTTATACCCACTCCCTGTGTGTTTATACCCACTTCCCTGTGTTTATATCCACTCCTGTGTTTATATCCATTCCCTGTGTTTATACCCACTCCCTGTGTTTATATCCAACTCCCTGTGTTTATCCCCACCCCTGTGTTTATAACCATTCCCTGTGTTTTATACCCAATTCCTGTGTTTATATCCAACTCCTTGTGTTTATCCCCACTCCCTGTGTTTATACCCACTCCTGTGTTTATATCCACTCCCTGTGTTTATACCACCTGTGTGTTTATACACACCCTGTGTTTATATCCACTCCCTGTGTTTATATCCACTCCTGTGTTTATACCCACCCTGTGTGTTTTTATCCTTATTCCCTGTGTTTATACCCACCCCTGTGTGTTTACCCACCTCTGTGTTTATATCCACGTCCTGTGTTTATACCCACTCTGTGTTTATATCCACCCCTGTTTTTATACCCACTCCCTGAGTTTATATACCCACTCCCTGTGTTTATATCCACTCCCTGTGTTTATATACCCACTCCCTGTTTTTATCCCCATTCCCTGTTTTCTCCTTCATCATTCTTAGTCCGTATCTCCTCCACTCCCTTTTTGGGTTCTCCCTACTCCCTGTTTGCACTCTCCTTACTCCCTTTCTTGCCCCTCCTCACTCCCCGTTTGCCTCTCCTCGCTGTCTGTTTGCCCCTCCCCACTCCCCGTTTGCCTCTCCTCACTTCCCGTTTGCCCCTCCCCAATCCCTATTTACCCCTCCCCACTCCCTGTTCCCAGCGCTGGACGAGAATATATATAAGGAGCTTTGAAGATCATTTTTGCATTCATAAATCATTATAATCTTCCTCTTGCCCAACGCCTCCTCCTGTTCCTGCTCTTATCATCCCCTCTCTTCTTCCTTTATCACTCTCTGTTTCTCCT